GTGTTGAAAGCGTTACTGGTGAAGAAATAATCAATATAAGTTTTAAGTAGAGTTTTGAGAATCGCCTGAAAGGAAATCACAAACAGCCCTAAAAACATGGGTATAGCGGGCTGAAACCACAGCGGCCTGACAGCCCGGCGTGTGGACAGTTATCCTGGAAGGTTTCGCGCTAATAGAGTACTGATGACTACTCTGGAGGAGGCTTTGGTGGGGGCCTCGCGCCCGAGAAATGGCACCAGTGAAAATCTGAATTTCCTCCCTAAATCGCATGATTCAGCCGCTTTTTCGAATGGTCTGATTCTTCCCTGGGATGGGACGCCATTTCTGGAGCAGAAGCCAGAAAGACAGCCTCGGAGTGGAACAGGGACAATTTAGAATGTCACACAATACGTGTCAGCGTGAGGTGCAGGACAATAAGAGACAAGTCAGCACTGTTTTCTCAGATTAACTCAGTTTCAGCTCGAAATGGGAGTGATAGCGTAGACAATACTTGCAGTGAATCGTTCACTTTCTTTAAAATAACTGCGATACTTGTGCATCATCACACATTGCGTACCAGCAATCACATGTATGCATGTGAACCTTGTTGCATAATCAATTCAGTCCATAATCTGAAACCATGTTTTTATTTCCTGGGAAATAGTCTGGATCATTTCTTCAACTGTAATCATAAAAACCCGAAGTGAAAGCAGTTTTGGATTTCCAGCTTTTTTTTTTCCCCCCCCAGTCCGCAGTGACGACGTAAACTATGGCGGATGATACGAGACGTGACAGCGTCCCGAATGCAACAATGGATAAAACGTCCGAGACATTCTTTGGCTCGGCTCGTCTGGCACTTTGAAGCAGCAGCAGAAATGCAGGAAACTGGTTACTTTCTCTCTTCCTCTTGGAGGAGCTTTTCCAAACTACCTCCAAACACGTCTCCCTAGGATTTTTTTTTTTTTCGATGGACGCACGGCAACTTTCCTGTGGCCCCCGTTGACCCGCAGGTTCAAGGAATGTGGTCGTTTGTTCGCATGAAATAATGGTCGGCGTTGGAGCGGTGTGTGTTTCTTGGAAGCGGGGCGAGGGCTGTGGCGTTACACGCTGCAGCGGGCCGCATCACAAGATCCACTTTACAATGGAAACCGAGGGAGTAGGAAATAGCGTGCGTGTGCAAGAATCTGTGTGTGTGTGTGTGTGTGTGTTTGTGTGCGAGGGCCCGGTTGTGTAGGATTGTAAAGCCAGCGTCTGGCGATAACGCGGCCCGCTGATGGCAGAGATAGTCGAGACGCCAGCTTAAAAGTGGCTCGCTGGATTGAAGTTGCCCTGTAATGATCGTTGTCTCAAACAACACACAACCTACAGTCGGCAGCCGGGGAGGGGTACCACCCGGCCCCCTCCGCCCACACCGGACCCCCCCTCTCTTCTGCTATTTTCTTTTATTTCCCCTTTTTTTTAGAGCTTTTGGGGGGGAATTTAAGGAAGTTAAATGCAAACAAAGCATCTCAGAGGCGGCCGACAATGGTCAGTAGCCGAATTCTATCCGCCCCTCTGTCGCCCCCCCCCCCCCCCCCCCAACCCGCTTCTTTCAGCACAGTGGAAGAGTCTAATAACTGGAGGGGAATCTAATCCTTGGCACTGGATGAAAGACGGGGGTCTCCCTCCCTCCCTCGCTCTCTTCCCACAGTCTCTTTCTCTCTCTTCATTTTTTCCGTGGATGCTGGTTATGCTTGGCAGGTTCTCTCTCTCTTTCCCTCTCATTTTCCGCTCCCTCTTTCACCCAGTCTCACTTTTTTTTTTTTTTTTTTTACTCCTCTACTTCCTCCTTATTTTTCCCCAGAGCTTTTTTTCATCCGTATGCAGGTTAAGGTTAGCAGGAGGAGGCCTCAACTGCTCCGACTGGAGGGAGAGAAGAACATATATATATATATATATATATAAAAAAAAGCAAAAAGCACATTTCCCAAAATATGCTTTTTGCTTTTCCTGCTGAGAATCAGATGAGAAGGTTGACGCTACGCTCTTGTTTGTCTGCTTAGCTTAGCGTCAACACTGGAAAATGTGTTTTCAAAGCAGGCGGTTTTCATTAACTTTGTAGCTTTTGGCATTTATATGAAAAGAAATCAATTGGTACAAAATCAACTTAATTGGGAACTGGACAGCAGAAATTGAACCGCGTTGGTGGACATTTAGAGCAAAACTCCCAAGTGAATCAGATACGGCCGTATGAGGAAATGCAGCTTTGGCCAAGATAACCATCTTTCCCCTCCGGCTACGTTTACCAAGCACGAGTATGATTTCTATCTTCTGATCCCAGCCAAGCGAGGGGTATTTCCCTAAACGTCTGACTCTTCTTTTGATATCTACTCAAGAAGAAGAAAGGAAAGATGAATGTTGTTGTCACTGTTTTAGCTCCAGATTCAACCGTCTGACCCTTGAACTTTGATCGCCGCTGCTTTTTTTATCTGTATAAAAACCAAAGCAGTACGTGCATTTAACGCGCGGCTTGATCTCGTTACAGCACAGCTGTTTGTTTTACGCTCCGCCTATCTTCACCTTTGTTCGGGCCGCGGAGTCGCGCCGGGGTGTTTCCGTGAGATTGGCACTAAGAGACAGTGATTTTGAAATGAAACAACAAAGGCTACTTATCTAATTGGCAAACAGAGCTGTTAAATGGCGGTCGGCGTAAATGCTGGCAGGACGCGGTAATTGCTGCCAGGCCCCCTCGCGTACAGATGTGGTGCGCGCGCCCCACTCACACAGTCGCACTGTGGCACGCGGGTTCACGACTTCCTCCGGCTCAAACACAAACACGCTGATAACCTCCAGCCTGAACCCGTCTTTTGAAATTCCACCAAAGACGTTTCGTTGCCCACCCGCTCCTTCCTCTTTCCTCCTCGCTGCTCCTCCCTCATCACACCAGGAGCTGTGGATGACACCCGGGACGGGGCCAGGAGCCGCTCCGTCCCACCTCATGTTTAAATAGTTTAAACAACACACCAGTCAATCTTCAGCAGAGGAGGGAGCCAATTTGAAATCTGCTCGTACTTTCTGGACCCCGAATGATGTGAGAAAACAAAATAGGAATAAGGTTATTTGTAACCCAGTAATGTAAATAAAACTCGTTAACAATATAAAAAAGCATATAGATAAAGGAGTTAAATCAAAACATTATGGGAGTTTCTTCCAGATCTCTGTTAGACAAAAACCGAATTGCATCATATTCTCAACTGTTTCAATGGAGACTTTAAAGCATGGATTTAATACGATACTTTCTTCAGCATCATTCATTATATGATGTGAATTAAAGTGCACCATGTCTAAAAAAAAAACCCCTAAAAAGTCCCAGTTTGTTTCATGTCTTCTTGAGAAATTAATTTGATTGCGAGCTCATAAAGTCCCCCTGTGTTTCCCCAGACATGTTTGTGTAGCCTTATTACAGGGAAGAGCATGGCTTGTAAAAGTGTGTGTGTGTGTGTGTGTGTGTGTGTGGGTGTGGGTGTGGGTGTGTGTGTGTGTGTGTGTGTGTGTGTGTGTGTGTGTGTGCGAGAGAGAAGGAGAAAGAGAGTCAGAGAGAGATAGAGCGAGAGAAAGGGAGACATTCTGCTAGCTGAGCAACCCGCTCTCTTATTGGAGAGCTGTAAAAACTCCAGACCGCAGGAGTTGCCAGCCTGGAATTCACTAATGACACACGTGGGCCTCAGATGAGAAGTGCAATTTTGTGTGTGTGTGTGTGTGTGTGTTTTTGTGTGTGTTACAGTCATACTCTTTGGATCAGAAGGGGCAATTTGTGTGTGTACATGTGCATGTTAGAGCCCCTATCTCACCATCTAGCGTATGTGTGCTTGTATTGTACAGAAACGCTCGCACACATCTCCTCCTCCTCCTCCTCCTCCCTGTCCCACCACTGCCTCTTCCTCCCTCTTTCAAACAAAAATGGCCGCCGTGCAAACATAACACACCTAGCCTAATCTCGGTCTTGGTTTCGCCCTGAAGCCGTTCCTTAATGGGAGGAGGGGCGCAGCCGTCCCGGCCCCCGGTGGACGAAGAGGAGGTGCTCGGGGGAATATGAAAGGAATGGGGCCACGGGCACACGGCTCTTTAAATCCTCTGTGTCAATAGAGTCTGTGGAGCAAAATAATAGCATCACTCTGTGTGGGAGTTAATGTGAGCTGATAGCATGAAGGCCGGGGCGGGGGTCGGGAGGGGAGAGAGGGGGGGGGGGGGGGGGGGGTCAAGGGTTCACGGGGTTGTGCTAGGTTGACAGAGAGCTGAATGCTTTCCACCCCCTCCTACTCCCCTCGCTGCTGCTCCTCTTTAACTCGGGACCTGGAGGAGTGTTGTGGAGGGAGGTGGTGAGGAGGAAGTGGGCTGTTCAGTGTTGACAGTTCTCGCCACCTTTTCAAAATATTCACAAGTGACCAATTAAAGGAGAAACATGAAGGCGTGAGCGAGGAAACGTACGCGGGTGGGTTTGGTTCAAACTGATTTAAAACAGTAATCCGCACAAAAAGACAGAAGAACTTCCCCTCACTGCTGCACCAATTGTCCTGAATAATAAAGGATCACACAAATGAAGATTGTTGCGTAAGAATAAATAATGCAGTTGGATGAAATGAAGAACCGGTGGTGAAGATAATAGTGCGCATGCCTGGTTCTTCATCTTAGCTCGATGCCTTTGTAGCCGTCAGGTCGGGGCCCCGTTGGGCACCTCAGGTCGACGCGCCAGACGGTGCTCTCTCTGCAAAGGAAGTATGGAATAACTTTGGGAGAAATGGGGCCCTTCATCCTCCCAGTATGATCCAGTCCAAAGGCCTGGACCATCTAAGCAGGGCTGAAGCTCTTCCTGTGTTCCTGCGGATCATTGTGACCCAAAGTCCCGCCAAGATATTTTGTGTTGTACTTTTAAGTATAGAAAGAATCAACAGTGATAATAATGTTATTATTGGACGCACTCTTCGTTACGCATTGCCAATATTAACACCCCCCCCCTCTCTCTCCCCCCTTCTTCCCTTCAGACACTGGTACCTCCATCGGCTCCTCGACCTCCGGCGGGCATCGCTCTCACTGGTGCAGCGTTGCCTACTGGGAGCAGCGCACGCGCGTGGGTCGCCTCTATCCGGCCTACGAGCCCTCGCTCAACATCTTCTACGACCTACCTCAGGGCACCGGCCTCTGCCTGGGCCAGCTCCACGCCAACGCCTACCACAGCCGCCGCGACGACCCGGGCAGCCACGGCGCGTCGGGTGCACACGGACACCCCGCCCACGGAAGCGGAGGGAGCGGCGGCGGCGGCGGCGGCGGCGGCGGCGGCGGCGGCGGCGTGCAACAGATACGCAGTAAAATCGGCCACGGCATCGTGCTGAGCCGGGAGCCCGACGGAGCGTGGTTGTACAACCGCAGCCAGCACCCGGTGTTCGTCCACTCGCCCACCCTGGACCCCCCCAGGGCCCGGGGTCTCAGCGTGGAGAGGGTGATGCCGGGCTTCTCCCTCAAGGTGTTTGACTACGAGCGCTCCAGCTGGATGGCGGAGCGCGGCGTGAAGCCCGAGTGCCAGGAGGGGCCCTGGGACCCCCACAGCGTTCGCATCAGTTTTGCTAAAGGGTGGGGGCCCTGCTACTCCAGACAGTTCATCACCTCCTGCCCGTGCTGGCTGGAGGTGCTGCTCAACAACCACAGATAGACTCGCATGAGCTTTCCTCACCCGTTATCCTAATTGTAATCTACCTAGATTTAATATAAAATTTATATATTATATAAAATATATTACACATGTAAATACTTGAGTCATTTTTACAATGCAATTATTTATATATAGTGTAATGTGTATGTGGACAAAACAAAAAAAAAAGGAATTTAAGAATATGCACTTTTGCTTCTATATACGCATTACAGTTTCTCAGTGTCATTTTGCAAATATAAACTGTAAAAATAAGACAAACCTGGTTAATGTTCTCGTGATTAAGCGACTCCATCGAAAAGTGTGCCATACACACATTGTCAATAAAGTATTTGTAATAAAAGGTTTCGGTGGTGAATGAAGTTATTTTACAGCTATGGATCAGCCGATGTTCTTCTCCCAGATCGGTTTCCAATCCCATCGAAGATCCTTTATTGTGAAGACAAAATATGAAGGAAGTTGAAGAAACACTCCATCCCCTTCATCTCGGCTGAAGAACACGGCGATGGTGGTTTTTGAGTAATGAGACCAGGCAAATTGGAGGTTATTGGGTGTAACTCCACTTCTTAGAGTGTGTGCACAGCTCACACTCTGCTATCACAGAGCAAATGAAGGAATGTAAACACAGTTACCGTGTCGAATATGATTATAGACCAACACAGCTTTGTACAATCTGACACCTTTGTCGAGTAAAGCCTTGAGGTCATGTGATAACAAGCCTTAGCGTTCCCTGAGCGAGAGCCATGTGACCCAATTCAAGTCTCTGAAAAGCAAATAAGTGGACCTTTGAGCTCGGATTGATTCTGGATCACACTGTTCCCAAAGTTCCAAGATTTAATTCTCTCGGTTCTTTTGTGTGTGTCTTAAAACAAAATGCATTTTACAAGTGTGCTCAGACTGCAGAAATCATAGCAAACCTTTTCATTAAAGGGAATGGGTTGCAATGGGAAACCGTAAAAGTGGTAAGAGACAATAAACTCAGAGATTGCACAACGAACCACAGAAGGTTTTATAGTGTAACGGCATCCCATTCGACTCGTTCAACAACACAATCACTTTTGGAAACTCATACGGAAGAGCGAGAGCACACAGATGAGAAAAGGCTGTGACCTTCCGAGAGGCGTGTGCTTTGAAAGCAGCAGCAGCAGCAGAACGTCGTTCAGCTCAGGCAGTCAGGCATTTTTGTTTTGACCTTGAACCTCTGCAGGCTGCTTTGCTGAAACCTCTAATTAACTTTAGCTCTAAAAGTAAAGAGGGCTTGATTACAAAGTCGCAGCAGTCCTGAGGGAAAATGGAGCACTGAAGCATTCAACAATCTCTGCATTGTTGCAGTACAAAAGGAGAAGAAGAAGAAGAAGAAGATGAAGAAGGTTATTAATCCTTAAATGTGGAAAATCAATGCTTATTGTCTGTTATTGTTGCTCATTGCAAACACCAAAGAGCAAGGGGGCTTCAGCATAGTTGGCTCTCTAAGCAGATGGGGGTTTGGTGCCTTGCTCAAGTGGCCAGGAGTTGAACTGGCAGCTCTCCAGCCACCATGATGCCTACAGTCTGAGCTAGATGTCGCAGCATCATCATCAGGAAAACCGTGATTTCTGTGTGATGGAAGTTTTTAACTTGTATTTGCATGTATTTGTATTTGCATGTACCAGAACGGGATCAAACCTTTAATAGAAGTTCACTCCCATATAAACACAGCACAAAAATCCCAATGTGTATTTCAGTCAAGTCTCCACTGTGCTTTTCCAGGCAAAGTTTGGGACTTGCGGTCAGGATACAATGGAAGGATTCAGAGGGATCTGGGTGGGAGAGTTGTTGCTGGAAGGACCATGTTTCTCCTCCGTCTCTTTTTTTGGGGGGTGTTTTCTCATCTGAAAACGCCCCCGCCTCGCCTCCCGTCTTAATTGTTTTCCTTTTTTCAGGATGGAGAGTCATGGAGAGGATGAAACGGAGCCCGGGCATGCAGCGAGCGGCCGGAGGAGTGTTCCTGGCCCTCGTCTCCGGGGGCCGCGGTGCGTTCTGACCTCACTGTGAACCCAAGGCTCCCGAGCTGCGTTTCTCCACCGTGTAATTACCCCGTCCAGGTTATGATGTTATAATTATGTTAACGAATACATCAGGGGTGGGTAATTAATGGCAGGCGTCCTCTGCTTTTGCCGCAAACAGGATGAGAGATGGGTTTAAGGGAACAAACCACAGTGCTTACAGGTTTTAGCTCCGTAAGTGCAAATCATGAACGCTTTGAATTTCTGTCGGCCATCTTCACCCTCATGGCCTAGGTTCCCAAACCGTGGGTTGGGCCCCCTTCACGGGACTGCAGGTTAAATGATGATGATGTCATGCCGTCCTGGAGTAAATGTGTGAGAAATATTCTCGGACGATCTGCTCTCAAACGATCCCACGAGGGCAGAAATCTGAAAGAAGCGCGAGCGATCGCGTGAGGAGAAACAGTCCAACCTCCAAGTCCAAAGTCTTCCCTTCCCTCGCTGACCATCACGCTGATGGTGTTTTGTCACTTGGCTGCTCAGAGTGCGCGTGGATCGATGCCTCCGCTGTTAGCGAGCCCTCGTGTGTGAAACCGCAGACGGCTCCTCGCTGTCGTGTTGCTGATTGCACATCAGTGTTTATTAATGTCCTCACAAGCAAAGACAGACGATGACAGACGGCTCCTAAGTGCTCAATAAACACACGAGCCAACACACATGTACCTGATGTTTATTAATAAAGATAAATAAAAATGACTGTGCTCCGTTAATCAGGATGAAATCGATATTTTGGATTTGGGCGTTTTTTCACAGCAGACATTTTTACTGATCACATGAGTGAAAGCAGGCGTTCCTCTTAACACCAGCGATGGCTCCGTTAAGCAGCTTACACTCAGAGCTTTTCAACAAAGACATCTGCACCTACATCACCGTCTATGTACAGCACAGATCATCATTTTCTTTGGTGATTTGTTTGTTCGATTAACAGAATGAGTCACTATGTGCATCAGTTTTAGTTTTTACCACCAGCGAGAAGCAACGCATTTCCCACAATTCCCATTACCTGATCACCTCGGCCCTTTGTGGGACGGCATTATGTCCTTTTCTTCTCTCAAGGATGGTCCTGTGTTCCCTTTGCTAAAGGAGGTAACAAAGTGTTTGACCATCTCTGAGCAGTGACATTATTTTGTTATGTACGTAATACGTTTTACTTAAATTAGATTTATTTAAGTTGTCACGATGAGAGTGAGTACAAAATCATTCCCGGCCTTCACTTTTAATATCCACTCAACCAAAAAAAGGATTTAAGTCGTTATGGTGATGTTTAGGTCATTCAAAGCATAAAGTTAGGAGAGGATCAAAGTCTTTGGATGGAGAAAATTTGTTTCTTTTTATCGGTTGTATTTTTATCTGCACATATAAATAAACTGTCCATAGTTGCAGATTGAGAGTTGTGCTCCTTCCGTCTCTCGCCCTCTTGTTTTTAAACTGCCTCCTTTTAACCACCAACACACACACACACACACACACACACACACACATTTATATTTCTGAAATGTCACGAAACTATTTACAAACTGCAAAAACACGACTCACTTGTGTCACTAGAAATGAACAAATAGTAGTTGTGGCTGAGCTCTTAGTGACCTCATTAGTTCATGGAAATACGTGGAGGGAGGATGACTCCTTCTTTTCTTCCTCTTAGCTTCAAACTCTTCGCCCTCTCCGCTAAACTCTCACAATGAAACTCAGCGAGCCACACGCCTCCGACTCGCCTCTTCCCAGAACGACTGTGGACCTGTTTGCTTCCCAGTCCGCCTTTGTTTTGTTACTTTAAGCGCCGTGTCTGTCAGCCATAGTGTAATTACATGGAGACGGAGACGCAGGGTGGGTGGGGGGGACGGGGGACGGGGGAACGGGGGGGCGTTGGAGACAAACTTCTCTTTCAGCTGCCGTTAGCTGCGACCAGTGCCGCCTGAAGCTGCTCGCCTCTTGAATGGAAGCCGAGAGACTCTTCGACTCCCGTTTAACCCCTCCGATCCGCCCACAGAGCCCCCCCGGGTCCCCTGACGGTTTGATGAGCACCGTCGTGACCCCCAGAGGTCACTGGAGAAGGTCACGGCAAGTGACCGACGTGCAGTTTATGGGATTGGCTTTCGTAAACTAAACAGTCACGCGTTACCTGGCATGTCTCACAGTGTCGATCTCTGAACTCTAACAAGTCGCGACGCCATCATTTAATTTATTTGCTGCCTGCGGCCACATTGACTTTTACATTCTTCTGTCGCAAGATGGGATTTCTGTGCTTGGGTGTCACTCCCACAATGATTCACACGAGCAGACGATGTAAACAAAGGACTTTACCGAGCTTCTTGGATTCCAGTTTTGTTTTATACACAGCACATCATCTTCACCTCCATCTTGATCCCCCTTAAAAATAATACTCTTCCCTATACTTCTTTTTGCAGTTTTCTCTTACCACTCCAGTTTTCTGGAGTTCCAACAGTTCTTTTAAATGAATGTATGTGTGCGTGAACACAGCGCGTGGTGGTTGCATAGTGGTTTAGCTGTGGCTGGTGTAAATATCGTGCCTGTCCTCAGACAATACGTCTCCAGAGACACCGCTGATGTTTGACTCATTTCATAGACGTTTTGATTTAATTCCTTCTACAAATCCATGACGAGGAACAATCCCGCCAGTCACACCACCTCCTTTTTTTTTTTGTTTCCACTTTGTTGTTTGCAGTTTGAAATGGTTTCCTTTGCAAAACCTGCATTTACCCCAAAATACCACCAAAGAAACGCAACCGGCGTATGACTTGACTCCTCGTCTCTAGGAGGTCTAAATGTTTTCCATACTGAGGGACTGTAAATGGATGCAGGAAATGCTGTCACTCCGCCCCGCTTTCCAAACTTCCAGAAGGAGGTTTTGGCTCCGGTAGACGCCAGTGCGGTAGATTCCAGCACCGCACCGACCCCGCTCAGGTTTCCCCTCGCCGAGAGAGAGAGGGAGAGAGAGGGAGAGAGAGGGAGAGGGAGGTCCGCCCAGCTCTCGGCCCAGAAGAACACAGTATCTGTATGTTTCTTTTGTGCCATTGCAAACCAGATCATCTGTCGGCTGGGTGCGTGCGTGTTTGCTCTGAACGGCGGAGGAAGTGGAGTTGAGCTTGCGGGGGGAAAAACACCAACGGCAGCGTGACATAAAGTTGGGCAAAGAAGAAAAAGAAAAACCGTGCAAATACAGCGTGTTTCGGGCCAGGCTGGGGACATTATTCTGCAGCCTGGCAGCCGGTGCTGCGCCGGGTTGGGCCTGTCAGAGGTGTTGGAAGTCATATAAACAGTGTTTAAAGCTGACAGGAA